ATTATTTTTTCCAGTTGTCTTCTTCATGTCATAAAAAAAATATAAGAAATGTCATGTAGACAAAGTTAATGTCTAAACTGATGGAAAGATCAAAATTGTACAGTTTTTAGAGTTAAGGATTAAAAAAGTACAAAAAATAATTTAAGGACCAAAAAAATACAACTCAATCAAATTAAGGGATCAAAACGAACATTCAACCTACAATTAATTTGTGCCAGCGTGACTTTGACGCACGGGTGGAGTTTCGTTTCCATTTTTTCTTTTTGTCATATCCTACCTGGAATACTCTTTTTATGATAAATTTTATTGCCTAGTGATTTCCCTGGGACCTGGGTTTCACTAAATAAAGAACACGATGCTCCAATAGGGAATGATTTTGATTCGGTACAAGGTCAAAGCCTATTTTTAGGCCTTTACATCAATAAGTCTATATATTTAGACCCTTACCTTATACATCACATTTTAGACCCCTCAACTTCTAAAACTTAGAGGGAATAACCTTTTCATTAAAATATCTTAAACATAAAAAGATATATCTGCAATTGAGTTCTTATAGTAAAAAAAAATTCTAAAATGACACTTTGAGATACAATTATTAATTGTTGTCACTTAGATCCTGAATCTAAAGAATTTAAGCATAGTAGTCATAGCAGTTCTAAAGAGATCAAAGGAGTATTAAACTTTGTCATATATTTATTACATCATGTATCTACGAAAGTAAAAAAAATAGAGAAGTTACTAGATGTGTTTAGTAAAATTGGAAAATTAGATTTAAATGAAGAAAGTAAGATATTACTAAAATCTTTAAAAGAAAATCTTAAAAATATGATAGAAAAAAGAAGTCCGAGTAGATTAAAAACATGAGATGTGGATGTTTGATTGGGGACAGTTTAAGCTAAACCCACATGAGCATCTAAAACCAATAGGAGAAAGTATGACTAAAGAAGAAATCCTTGAGAATTGGGAAAAGGCTAAAAATGTTGAAGAAATGGTATATTGGGAACATAAATTGCATAAGTTAGAATCCCCTATGGAAAACATAAAAATGACAAAGAAAAGGAAGAAGGAAGCCCTTCTAAAGGAGATGGACCTTCAGGTAAACCAAGGTGCAAATGTGGAAGCACAACTAGCCTCAATATGGGATGAAGGAGAATCTTCAATAGCCAGAAAAGGGTTAACATCCAGGACCAGGGAAGAGGAAATGATAATAGAGCCCAATAATGAAGAAAATATCTTAGAAGATGACAACTATGATAAGAGCTCATATTGGGAAAATATGACAAATAAGGAGTGGTACAACATTGAAAACATGATGGAAAAATAAAAGTCACTATATAATTGTACTACCCTCAAGAAGATTTAAAGTTTGGATTTGAAATCCAAATAATTGCACTAGGACCTTATCCCTTCTTAAACTATGTGTGAAATCCAAAGTTGAAGTTTGCCTATATTGCCTATAAAATAGGCATGGACTGCATCTTGTAGATAGAGTTAGAATTAGAGTGTTCTGCATCTTGTGAAAGAAAAGAGAGTTCTAAAAATCCTTAGAGTTGAAGTGTGAAGTGTGTAAAATACTATGTTTGTACTACCTACATTATCTATAATATAATTGAGTGTTTATCTCTATAAAACCTTTACCAAAATCTTGCCAAGCTATTGTCTCTTGAAATCTTAAAAATCATTCAGCTTAAAACTTTGTGTATAGATATTATTGAGCTACTTGTTGCTGAGGTGAAAGCCATAAGGAAGGCTTGTTGGTGTTAAGCTCTTAAAATGAGGCACAATAATTTGAGTTGGTGATCTTCAAAGAGGTAGTAGATGAAGCAAAGTGAGCTTTAGGTTGAAGGTAAGACCTATTCAAAGAATTATTATATTTTTAATTAGAATATTGTTGAGTGTCACTATTATAAATACCTGTCTTAGAATTGTATAGATATATATATATATATATATTAAGGTATGAGTTTATGAATTCCACATCACAAAGATTAACAATTACAGTTATTGGTTTAGAGTTAAGTAATAATAGAAACCTTAATGGAGAGATTGCCTCTTTAAAAAGACTAAGATTTAGACATCAGTGAAACACAGAACAATGGGATCAATTGAATAGTACTGAGAACCTAGAGGAAATAGTATTTGAATTAGAATTTATAGATGAATTAATAAAGTTATTAGAAGTTACAATTAAGGCTAACAAAAAAAAAAAAAAACTATCTATGGATGTAGAAACTAATAATAATATGAGAGTTTATTTTAGATTATATAGATGATGTTAGATTCTATGATTACTAGTGTGAATATTATAGGAATAAAATAGTAAGAATTTTAGTAGAAATTAGTAAAATAGAAGATCCTAAAGAATATCATTTATCAAAACTGATGAAAAAATTAGAAAATGCTGTAGCAGATTTAAAAGCAAATTTAAAAAGATTGAAGTATGCTAAGCAAGCAAATGTCATTTTTACTAGCAACAAAAAGTATATTAAATTTGTATGATATTAGTAGTGTAATTGTATCATTATACAATAAGTCTATTTGTATGTGAAATTTATTTTCGTATTTGTGTGTGTGATAGAGTTTGTATTAGATAGACCTTGGTATCAAAGTTTTAGGGTTTAGGTGAAAATTTTAAGGAAGTTAAAGGACTTGTTAAGAAAAACTAAAAACATTAAAGTAACCATTAGTTAATGGTAAAAGTCAAAAAGCTAGTCAAAGGGCTAATTCCTTTAAAGATAGTTAGTCAAAGGGCTAAAACCTTTAAAGATAATAAGCTAAAGGGCTAAAGTCTTTAACTTGTAACTTGAAGGGCTAAAAGCTTCAGAAACGTGAAGGCTAAGGGCTTTTTAGAAATAAAAGCCTCGGTTCAAATGGTTGAGGTCACTTATTTATTTATTTATTTATTTATTATTATTATTATTATTTTGTAATAAGTTCACGTATTTCTATTTAAGTTGATTATTTGCCCATCCTTTTTTTTTTTTTTAATTTCCGAAGATGGTTTACAGAAAATTTAAAACCCCTAAATAATATCAAATCCTTTGACTTGAAAAATGATTCAGACATTAAAAATAATATTAGTAATCAATTCAAAAGGCACACTTCAAGGTTTTGATTGAGACCACAATTCAAGTTAAAT